GTTTCATCAGATAAGGTTGAATTCTTTAACTCAAACTTGGATGACTCCCAAAGAGAAGCTGTATCCTTCGCTCTGTCACAGAGAGAGCTTGCAGTGATTCATGGGCCTCCGGGCACTGGGAAGACCACCACTGTGGTGGAAATCATCCTGCAAGCTGTCAAACAGGGGCAAAAGGTGCAAAAATGTGAATTTGATAGTGTATAAAGAAGAATGTTATCAATGCCACAACTCTAGTCTAGACAGGATCACTTTGGCTCTTGTGACTGTGCAGGTCCTGTGCTGTGCTCCTTCAAATGTGGCGGTGGATAATTTAGTGGAGAGGTTAGCCCAGTGCAAAGCCAAGGTCCTGAGGCTGGGTCACCCGGCCAGGCTACTGGAGTCCATACAGAAACATTCACTGGATGCCATCCTGGCTCAGAGTGACAACGCAAACATCATCGCTGAGATCCGGAAGGACATTGATAAAGCATTTGTGAGTATTATAGTGTGGTGTCCCGCTAACATGTCATTTTAGTGCCGTCTCAAATGATTTGTGATGTTGTGATTGTTCCAAGATGGGAATGAAAAAGGAGAAAGGAGAACGGGGGAACATGAAACGAGAAATAGGAGAGCTGAGAAAAGAGCTGAAAAGCAGAGAGGCAGCAGCCATCGCCCAGATCCTTAAAAGTGCTGACGTTGTGTTATCAACCAACACAGGTGAGTAATGGCCCGATGACAGTGTCATTCAGATGCTGGAGTAATGATGAAAGGTAATCTGGGAGCGCTTGTCTGCGTGTGTGCAGGTGCCTGCGATGACGGGCCTCTGAAGTTCCTGCCAGCTGAACATTTTGACTGGGTGGTGATAGACGAGTGTGCTCAGGCACTGGAGAGCAGCTGCTGGATCGCTCTGCTTAGAGCGCGCAAGTGCATCCTGGCTGGAGACTACAAGCAGTTACCACCTACCATTAAATCACAAATGTAAAAAATTCAAGTTTGGGTTTTTTATGCATTCATAATATTCAGCATTTGATATCTGTACCGTTGTGACTTTTTTTCCTCAAGTCCCAGAAGTTTTTAACTTTAAAATACACGATGTAGCATTTATCTGTTGCCAGTATGTAAATGAATTGTAACATAATCTGAATAATGAGACCTTCACCGCCTGCTTTTATTAAGCCTCTGGAGTTAAAAGTGGAGGACAAAATCCAAAGGATGTCACTAGAAATAGTTTTTAGAATTTTAATTTTTCCTTTAAAAAGCACTTTTGACACATTTTCTGAAGCATTCAGATTTCTGATTATAAAAACAACAAGCTTGGTTAAAGGATAGGTTACATAGTTTTTCAGTCTGTTGCTTTTAAAAACACCAAAACAGGTTTTTCTAGCTCTAATCAGCTCTTCTGTGTGCACTGGTGGTTCAGAGATCCCATCCTAATGCACTTTTAATCCCAGTATCAAATCAGTTATAGAAAGAAGTCATCGATGCTCCATCCATTTTTTTCCACTTTTCCAATTCAGGGTTGTGCAGGGCGGTAACCTATTCCAGTTGTCACAGGGCGAGAAGCAGGGTACAGCAGGGATCTCTCCTGGTATTCTGGCTTTCTCCCACAGTCCAAAGATGTGCAGTTAGTGGGGTTGGGTTAAATGGGTATTCTAAATTGGCCGTTGATGTGAATGCGAATGAGGCTGGTTTTCAGGAATTAAAATGTAAATCTGTAAAATTTTTATGTTGTTCTGTTGCAAACAGGGCTGCATCAAAAGGCTTATCTCTGAGTCTTATGGAGAGACTTATCCAGATGTACGGGGACTCGGTGGTTCGTATGCTGACAGTTCAGTACCGCATGAACAGTGCCATTATGCAGTGGGCCTCCAAGGAGATGTACCATGGAAGACTGACCGCTCACAGCTCTGTGGAGGGACATTTACTGAAGTGAGACTCAATGTATTATTTTAAAGCATCTCATATTTGTGTTCTGGTGACAGATGAATATTTGGATTCATTTAAAAATGTCGCTCAAAACAGAGATCTAGCAGGAGTCGCATGCATTGAAGAGACCAGCACGCCGCTGCTTCTTATTGACACAGCAGGGTGTGGTCTGAGTGAAATGGAGGTCGCAGATGAGCAGTCCAAAGGCAACACAGGTTATTCTTTTTTAATTTTAGCTTGTAAACAAGCAATCTATGATTACTGCTTGTGTGGTATGACAGTTTAACAGCGTGTCATGTGTTTCCTCAGGTGAGGTCGACATCGTCGATCTGCACATAAAAGCTCTGACTGAAGCTGGAGTTAAAGCTAAAGACATAGCTGTTATTGCTCCATACAATCTACAAGTAAGTCACAGAAATGAGACTGGCAGCACCGAAAGTAACTGATTGGTTTCAAAATTCCAGGGAGAATTATTAAAAATTTTCCTGAAGGTTAGATTTTCATAGCACAGTGATTAGGGAAATGCAACAAGGATGTAAAGACTAGTATAAAGAATAACTTAACTTTTAAGTAACTTAATGCATTACTTTAAAGAAAAGTGATATGTGTAATACATTACTTAAAAAAATAAATAAATAAATAATGCCCCCAACACTGATCACAACAAAGAGGAGAAATACCTCCAACGTGCACAAACATTTGACCACACAGCGTGCAATAAATTTGCATGTATGTATGTAAAAACATCTTTTCCTTTGATAAAAATAAACACCCAAAGCTTTATCATTTAAATGGTACATGGTAAACACACTGGTACTTATATAATGCCGTTCTACTTAATTTTGAGCACTCAAAGCCCTTTCTAAGTCTCATTCAGCCAATCACACACATTCATACAGTTCTTTTATCTAACATTCACATACTCACACTGCAATTGGTAGCAACTCAGGCTTTAGTATCTTGCCCAAGGATACTTCGACACAGGTGGACCCGTCAATCCACCGACCTTCTAATTGGTAGACATTCCGGTATACCACTTAAACCACAGCTGCCAAGGAAAATCGATATAACAGTGCTGTTTTGAATATAACAACCGTTTTTCTCTCCGTACAGGTCGATCTTCTACGTCAGAAACTTTCTGCAAAGCATCCAGAGCTCGAGATAAAATCAGTGGATGGATTTCAGGGCAGGGAAAAAGAGGCTGTCGTGTTGTCGTTAGTTCGATCCAACAGAAAAGGTAATTCATGACATTCCTTTTAATTCTGTCACAGAATTGTAGATGTTAGCTGCATTAAACATAAACAACAGTTTATCTTTCTACTCACAATTTTTTTTTTCCCCACTGATTCCATTTATTTTAGGTGAAGTTGGATTTCTAGCAGAGGACAGAAGGATAAATGTTGCCGTTACGCGTGCAAGACGACACATCGCTGTCGTGTGTGACACTCAAACCGTTCAGAATCACGGTTTTCTGAAATCCCTGATTGATCACATGACTGCGTTTGGTGAAGTCAGAACAGCGTTCGAGTACATTCAAGACATCGTACCACAAAACTACACCCGTGACCACAAAGATGCGAAAACAGCCTCTTCCAGCACCTCCACATCTACCAAACACAAGGTCAAGGATCAGCCCTCCAGTAAAGCAAAGCCAGGACAGAAAAAATCTGCTGGTAGCAGCAGCAAGGAAAATGCAGCTGGTTCAGAGAAGCAAACAAAGTCTAGCACATCAGCAGAGCAAGAGCAGAGTAAGGGCAGACGCGCTGAGATCAGAGAGCAGGTGGAAAGGTTTATGAAGGACTTAAACCAGAGTGAGCTACAGTTTCCGTCATCATTTAACTCTCATGACCGGCTGCTGGTCCATGAGATCGCTGAGGAGCTGGGCCTCATTCATGAGAGCAAAGGGGAGGGAAGTGAGAGGTGTATCACTGTCTCCAGACCCCCGGTGTCAAAACCAGCCAAAGAAGAAGCACGAGCAGCAACGGAAGAGGAAGAGGAAACGATCCCAGATTCAAAAAGTGAGCCATCGTCTCAACCCCCCTTAGACCTGAAAAGTTTACATTTAGAGAGGATGAAGAGAGAGCAGAAGAAAAGGGAAGAAAATGCTCAACAAAAAAAGCAACAGAACAACATTCATCCAGCTCAAGGCCACTCATCAAAAAAAGCAAAAGGTTTGCATCAGAAGCATCTAAACAAAGCATTTAAAGGTGTTTTCTTACCCATCAGCTTTCTAACAGTTTAACTCTGCATCATGTTTCAACCCCAGGAAAAAATCAAACCAAGGCTGGGGCCTGCGACATCGCTGCTGCATCTGCTCCAGATGATGACTTCGACACACTCATCAGTAGTGTCATGAAGGCCGACAGTGTTTGTAGTTTTGTCAAGTGCAAAGCATCTGTGCTAACACTCGGGCAGCTCTGCCTGTTCTGTAACAGGCAGTATTGTCTCAGTCATCATATACCAGAGGTAAGAGGCACGCCTCAACTGAGTAGTATGTTTGATGTGTAGGTTAACAGGTAACACCTGCCAAGCATCTGTGGAATTTATGTTTTTTTTACGTGAAAATCTGATTGATGTCTTGCAAATACTTTTCAGGTTCACGGCTGTGGAGATAAAGCCAAGTCTCATGCTCGAATGAGGATAAGTAAAGAGGGTGTTCTTTATGCTGGGAGTGGGAAGAAAGACAAATCTATGGACCACAATAAGAAGGCCTATCTGCAAAGAAAATTGGACTCTAAGCTAAAAGACATGGCGTCACAGAGGAAGCCAAAAAACAAAGAGAAGGATGGTTAATGGTTAACTTGACACTAAATTTAAATAAATCTAAAGACTTTTTTCTGAGAAAGCTAAAAGAGTGTTTGAAATTGTTTATTTTCTTGCTCTTTGGACCTCTGTTTGATACAGTAAAGTACAATTTCCTGCTGAAAAACTCTTATTTAAATAAATAATTTTAATTACAAAAAATTTTCATTGTGTTTCAGTCACAATATTTATTGCATATATTACTAGTGCTGTTATGACACGTAATGGAGCCTGTCTTTTAACTCAACATTATGGGAAGCTATTCTACTTTCACTTTGTCTGGGGACAGATTGTCAATGGGTCGCGTTTTGCACATCCTTACACAATCCGGGGGAAAAGTAGGAGAAAACCTTCTCAGTAAATTTGTCTTTGAATGTGTGGATCTTTGTAGAATCTGCAGCATTGATGAAAACAACTTTTCCCTTCTCATAGTCCAGCTCTACTGTAATCCTGTTGGGCTTCTCCTTCATTGGGAGCTTGGAGCGAGGTGTGGTCTGTGCCCACAGTGAGTCTCCATTGCTCAAACCAATTACCCAGAAACCCTCAGCAGGGCTGAGGAAGATGGTATTCTTTCTTTGGATGGAGTCTAGAGCCACTCCGATGTACCAGTCTTTGCCTTGGCCCACATCTACAGTCCAGCTGTGCTTTCCAGATGTAAAACCAGTGGCTCCCAGCACAGAAACACGGTTGATGAGGCGTTCAGGATTGTTGGGTAGGAGCTTCTTGCTGCTGTATTGCACACAGGACAGTTCTTCAGAGAACTCTAGGTTGGACTGGGCAGTGTTTGGATCCAAAACAACAGGAACTGGAAACCGTAAAATTCAGTTAGTTGAAAATATGATAGAATTTAGAGTAAACTTGAATTTTTTCTTTAACCCACCACATCTGACAATGTCTTCCACCTTCTTCCAAATGTGAAAACTAAGTGATCCCAGATGCTTTGCAGAGTTTATCAGGATATCTCTGATGACCTCTGGCTCTCCAATTTTCCACTGAAGCCTGAAACATGTTAAGTTGTTACAGCCTTCTCTCATAGAAAAGATCAATGCTGATTTTAGCAGATAGTGGGTTATGCTTACATTTTCTTTGTCTTCTTGTAGTCCTTAAGTTGAAGAGAGAATGTGAAAGAGAGTACATTATGAAATCATGTGTGAAATAGAGTTGCACATCTGGAAACGGCTGAAAGTATTAAACCTGTACAGTAATTCAAAGACACACATATGTGCACTACCGTTCAAAAGTTTCAGTTTTGTATTGCAATTCAAGTCGTTCAGCTCCAATGAATAGCTTGAAACGGTACAAAGGTAAATGGTGAACTGCCAGAGGCTAAAAAAAGATAAGGTTACCCAAAACTGAAAAATAATGTAAATTTTAAATGTATACAAAAAGGCCTTTTTTTCTTTCTTTTTTTTAGGAAACACAAAATGGTTTAACAATTTAAAGCTGTTCTGCAGTAATAGAGGTTGATCAAGCCGTGAGAGTTGGTGCTGTTATTTCTTACAAGTGTTCCAACTTTTCTGGATTACTTACAACCCCCTCTGTCTGTGAGCAGACCATGTGAGCTAACTATGGCATCAGAATAAAACAAAGAGGCTTGCCTGGGCCATGAAACACCACTGCCATCCATTAGGCAAAAGGATGGTTCCACAGTGTTTGGCATCAACTGTCAAACATGGAGGAAGAAGTGTGATGGTCTGCATTAATTTATAGTTCCTTCCAAAACATGCAAACCTCCTGTACTGCATGCACTTATGCACTCCCGTACCACAATGTTGGATTTTGAACTGAATGCTGATAACATACTGCAAAGTCTCCCTCCTCTTTAGCCTGGAGGACGGAGCATCCACGATTATCAACAAGAACGTCTAATTTGGACTTGCTGAACACTTTACCACTTTGAAACAGTTCATTTCAAAGGAGTCTTGGTCCACAAGACACAAAGGTACTTCTGCACTGTTCAAATATGGCTTCCTCCTTGCATGATAGCGCACATAAGCAGCCAAAATGAAGCAAATCAGAAGTGCCAAAACTGTAATTGCCAACTAAACTAGGTTTAAAAGTTCAAATTATGAGCTCTACACCAGAAAAAAAGCCATTATTTATGCTTTATGTAGTGTTAAAACAGGTACAATGCTGTGAAAAAGTATTTGCCCGTTCCTGAGTTCTTTTTCTTTTTTTGGATTTCTCAACAAGATGAAGGTAACAAAGAAAGATTTGAGGCTCCAAAACAGGAAACAAACTAATGGGTTACATCCATGGACACTGTAAGAGATGGACGTAGCGATTTTGTAACCGGATGCAGTGAGTCGGTGCAGGTCTGACTGTCAAACCATATGCTCATTGACTAACAACTTGTCAATCACAAATTGATACTTCCTTTCTGACAAACAGTATAACCAAGATGTATGAAATGAACTCCTTTTTAAAATTTAATATGACCCTAAATATGTAACTGAGACCATGAACTCAACAGAAAAGTGTTAACAGTGGTAAAGGTAGAAAACGATATTTCTATAGACTTCAGTGGGTCCAGAAGTCTTTTTGCAATCACAGGGATCACCCCCTGGTGGCCATTAAAAAGAACGCAGGCACATTAAAGTTGGCTCCACTTGTCAGACGCTACATGTGTCTTTAAAACTGACAATACTGATTAACCAGTACAGC